AGAAGAGCTTCCTGTACATGACCAGTGCATTGATCAGTTATATAATTAATATGTAATCAATCAAACTGCATCATATCCATCATATCAGAGGGCCAACACCAGCCTCATATATCCGCTGAATTATGGTTTGTCAATGTTGTAAATTATTAAATAAGGCTGTAGGAATGTGTAGATGTGTTTTGACTTACACTGGTTTAATTTCCATTGCATTATAACGGCCTTAGTTTCTGAATGAGATTTCAGTAGTTTATATTTCCCTGTCCTTCTACATTAATATGCTGCAGGAAATGATCAAAGGTTTGCCTTGGATCCATCAGAGAAAACCCCTTCGACTTGACATGGGTGAGTCACGCAGAGTTAGTTATTTCACCACTTTCAAAAAAGGAGCATCAAATGAGTTCCATCTTTGGATCAAACGAAGGCACTGCCCTCCTGCAGGTGTAATTTAGGTGGGAGAGATTTGAGCCTCTGATCAATAAATAGCTTTTTCTCTCAGTCATAATGGAGCAGGCAGTTAATTAGGTCATCTAAAAGCCAAAACAAAGATCAGGAGCTGAAACTTACATCTTTTGAACTTGGGTCCCAAGTTCATGTGAAGTACAGGAAACAAAGTTTCGAAAAATGTTTTGATACTGTATTGTCACAGCAAAACCCACTCACAAAATGCAGTTGACCATTTTCATGCCATAAAAATCCTCAAACGCTGCACACTCACAGCTACAGCTTCTGAAGATCCTGTCTTGGATCTCAAGTAAACTGTGAAAATAACAGAATGTAACTTAAAAAGTAGTGACAGGAAAAAGCAATTCACCCATGTTTATTTCATGTAAAATATCATCATAACTGTGTAATTAGCATTTGTAAATACATGTTCCAGCGCATTTCTGCAATGACAGTAAGTTTCATGCTAATTAAAAGAACAACGTTTATGTATGTAATATACTTATGATATCAGTAGGACATTATTTTCAAAACAGGGATTCTGAAATTCAACCCATTTTTTTGGCTGGACTACAACAGCGGGGCCAGACCTAGAATCTGGAATGTTACTGACTGACTGTCTGACTGACTGACTGACTGACGATATTTCTACCACTGGTTAGTGGTGTGCCGAGTCACAGTCTACCAAACCGCTTTGGTTTCCCAGCTGCTCTGGAACTGCAGGGAAGAGGAGGAGCGCTTCCAATACACTGAGCCTCACCTCTATTACAGCAAATAAATTATTTGCATTACATGTATCTTTATTACCAAAGGAGGCAGAGGAATAACTAAACATAAGACACACTGAGCAGTGAGAGCAGGAGAGAGGGAGGGAGAAAGAGAAGTCATTGGTAACGAGGCTTCGTATAACCGCTATGACCAACTCTACATATCAAACAGAGGGAGTTAGACAAGAAGACCTGCCTCTAATAAAAGTCTGTTACGTTCTGGAGTTGAAGTAAATAAAGACTGGTAATGTACTATCCACTATTGCGGATCCCAGACAGAGGCTGTGAGCTGTGTCAGAGTCTAAATAAGAACGATAGTCTGTTTCAGGCCCCGGTGGTTCACCTGGTGGAGCGTGTGCCATTTGGGCTTATTCCTTAACGTGGTGGCCCAGGTCCAAGTCCAGCCTGTGGCCCTTTCCTGCGTGTCATCCTCTCTCTCTCTCTCTCCACAATTTTCCCATCTCTCTCACTCTCACTACGACTGTAATATATTTTAACTGAAGAGAAACCGGCTAACAGGCTGGACGGGTGGACAAGTAGACAGGCAAGCTGGCATGGAGCAGACAACAGGATACAAGACGCAGGTTGCTGGTTTACAAGGAAGCACTGGCAACAGGTAGCGGATGCACTATGAATACACACAGGAATACACACAGGAACTAAAGCCAGGAACAAAGGAAGGGGACTGGTGTAAATGAAGGGGAGCTGATGAGCAAATGGTGAACAGGTGCACAGGTGACTGGGACAGGAGGGAAAGTTCGGGGACATCTGGTGGCTGGATGGAACAATGGCGGGAGACAGGGTCAGAATGAACAGGACTGGGGCAGGAGTCACGACACAGATAAGAGACACTGTTCTTACCACCTTCCCTTATGTAATTAACACTAACAAAAATCTTAGACTTCATACCAGCAGTATAAATTAATGCAGGGCTGAATACTGTTGACACAAGCAGCTTCTTTACCCAGCTTCCCTATGGCATCTATTATAGTTGTACAGGAGCAGGAGTATTTGAGCAGCATTTGGTATCCGGCTGCTGCACCTCTGACCCTTCATTAATTCCCGCTGTTGGCTGCTTGAGCAGTAATGCTGGTAACAGGATGTTAAAGGCACACTGTATGAGCCAAATGTAAATGACCTCATCACCACAATACAAGAGTCTGCTGTCACTCCCAAACTCACTGACAGATCTTTCAAAACACAGACTAACATGATACAAAGTTAAATCATTCAGTTTTGTTTTGAATGCTCGCAATCTTTTTAACATGCCTTACAAATTGGAATATACCTCATATTAATATTAATGTGGTTCCAAATATACTGACTGGGCCTTTAAGGGTTCACCACATAATATAAAGAAATCATTAATGGATCATTAATGGAATCATTGGTGTAACTAAAATAAATTAATGATGCTATAAAAATGACATCCTCTACACTGTGCCTTACATTATGAGCCAGCAGTACAGGAAGGCACAGTGAGTGTCTTCCAGCAGAGACTTTCCCAAAGTTATCCTCATATTTAAAAGATGTGGCGTCTTGCCACTCTCTATTACAGCAGGCTTTCCCTCTCTGTCTTCAATCTGGCCTTTGAGAATGACTAAAAACCTTTACCGTCCCACATCTTTAGACAACATAGTTGTCTGAACTTGTTCTTTTCTAGTATAATAAGATGACACTAACCACTTTCTTTTTCTTTCAAAAAGAACCTCAGGACCTATTCAATGGATGCCTTTAGTGTTTGAAGGGGACATTGAATGTCAACTACTTCAATAAAAACCCTTTAAAAGGTGCAATGTGTAAGATCTGGCCAAAATTTAAGCATTTAAGCATGTGAAGGAGCCACAGTGATGATGTCATGACCAAGACCTCCATCTATTGTATTTCAGATATATCTACTGAAATGAGCATGCTAACCAACTAGTTGCGTCCCGCACCGTGTTGTAATATTAGTTTATACTGCAATGTCTGTAGCTAAATATTCCTGAAAGCATTCCACATGTTCTTCTGCTTAAATCTGCAACAACTGATTGTTTTGACCTTTTAGGGTAGCCGTCCCCAACCACTGGGCCATGGACCAGTACTGGGCCGTGGCATATTTGCTACGGTGCTGCACAGAAAGGGCGAATTAAATGCAACAATTATCTGATAATAGGCTATTATTATCATATAGGTTATTTGTGCACCGCTGCTTTAGGGGCAATACAAAAAGCTATAAGTCATACTTTATCATCTTGTGAAGTTGTGATGGCTAAACCAAAAAGTAGCCCATTTACACATCCAGCATTTAAAGATTCATTCTTGGAGCAGCGTCGTCAATTTGAAGTCATGTTTCTGACCACCTGGCAAAGTCCAGTATTCACTCTCTTTTAGTTCTGTTTTGGTCTCCACCAACTGCTGAAGAAAATATGTATCTCTTTAGCTGCTAAATGCTCCACTATATTCACTAGCTGCTAAGTGTTCTGCTGTTTGGTATACTGGGCAGGTACCACACACACACTTCTCTGAAAACCTCTGTACAGCTGAGGGGAACTACAGCCACAGGTGACAACTGTCTGTGGGTTCGTCACTACAAGTAACAAGACCACTTTCACATTATTCATATGTGGGGTATTTCTGTTATAAGAATATAGATTTGTGCAGCTTTGATAGCTCAAACATCTTGACAACTATATATGATTGACTACCAACACTACTATTGGGCGGACGAGGTAGGGTGGGTCATCCACAAATCAGAAGGTCGGTAGTTCGATCCCCAGCTCCTCCAGTCTGCAAGTCAAAGTGTCCTTGAGCAAGATACTGAATCCCAAATTCACGCCGATGTACCATCGGTGAATGAGTGTGTGATAGAGTTGCGCTGTGTATATAGCAAGCGCTGCATGAATGTGTGTCTGATTGGGTGAATGTGACTCATAGTGTAAAGTGCTTTGAGTGGTCGTTAAGACTAAAACAGCACTTTATAAACGCAGTCCATTTACAACTATGTGTGTGTGTCTGTGTGTGTGTGTGTGTGTTTGTCTGTGTGTATATATGTCACAAAAAGTTTTAGACATTTCTGAACCATGTTGGTGAACAGAATGTGTGTTTTAAAGTGTTTAAAATGGTCAATATGCTTCTGGCAAAGTGAGTGTCATCCAGCAGAGACTTTCCCAAAGTTATCTTCATATTTAAAAGATGTGACGTCTTGCCTCTACAGACTTTTCCTCTCTGTCTTTTCCAGTATAATGAGATGACTCTAACCACCTTCAGGACCTGTTCAATGGCACCATAGATGCCTTAAGTGTTTGAAGGTGACATTGAATGTCAACTACTTCAATAAAAAAACCCCTTTAAGTGATTTGTTTATCCAGGATGAAATAAAAGACCTTTAAATGCAATAAAACCCATTTGAAAATTATAAATTGGACTCAAAAGAAAACATTTTGCTCCAGTTTCCATCACATGCAACTGTGTCTCTGATGAGTGGGAGGCAGAGACCACAGTAGGCCTACATCCCTTTGGGTTTCCTCAGAAAAAAAAAGGAGCAAAAAAAAAAAAGCATAATACTTGATGCAGCTGCATTCCATAGTGGTTACAAGGAGAAAAGCCCAGAGGAACATGTAGGAGAATCCAGTGTCAGCATGCTGCTGTAAAATGACTGGCCCTCATCCATGTCTGCAGGCTATGAGAACAGCAGTCATGAGATGGTCTATGTATGGTGATGTCTCCCTGGATGAACTCCATCAGTAGCTAGGTACAAGCAGCTGCTCATCACAGTTGGGGAAGACTGCTGTCAAGTGAATTTTGGTCATGATGAAGTTTGTAGCGTACTTCATTCTCCTCACCTCCGCAGCTCACGCGGGGCTGCTGAGGAAAAGACAAACGTGTCCGCAGGTTTGCGATGCTTCTCAGTGCCGCGTCCCGCCGCAGGCTTGTTACTACGGACAGGTGAAGGACGGATGCGGCTGCTGCGTGGTGTGCGCGGCCGGTGAGGGTGAAACCTGCGGGAAGCGGAGCGGCCTCTCTTGCGGTGACGGGCTGCGGTGCGACTCTGTCCCGGGGATGGACGGAGGCTTCCGCAGCTCTTGCGTGTGCGTCTCCTCCGGGCCGGTGTGCGGTAGCGATGGCAGGACTTACCCCAGCATCTGCCGCCTGACAGCCGAGAACAGAAGAGCCGAGTTCGGTGAGACCCCCCCGGTCATTTTGATGCAGAGGGGTCGGTGTGATTCAGGTGAGCTGTGGGAGTAACCTTTTATCTCTCTCTCTCTCTCTCTCTCTCTCTCTCTCTCTCTCTCTGCACTAAAGAGAAACCTAAAAGCCCCCTTCAGAAAAAACTAGAATATACAGTGTGCCATGTGGGTAAGAGCTGGGGTTAAAATACTCAATTCATTCATTTTACTGCAATTTTATTCATTACACTTGTAAAACAGGTCCTTGCAGAATGAATCTGCTCTAAGCTTGTGTTTGATAAAAGTAAGAGATAGCCTAAAAAAACTTACTATAATATTTAACATTTCTGCACTTGTATACACACTGTTTTTACTGTAACTGCACACTGCAAAAATGCCCAATATCACCTATAAGTGAAAACCATTTATATTTATTTAGCTTGAAACAAGCACATTTGGCTGCACTGTATAATATCTTTTAAAATAAGACCTGATGTGGAGCCACCATCTTAAAATAAGATCATTATAAGATTAGTGCTGTTCTTGTTTCTACACAGTAAAACTTCACAGAGGTAAAACCTGTGCAGAAGAATCGCACCCAAACAGTCTGAACATACAATGTTTAAGTTGCTAACCATTTAGCCACCAAGCCAACTGACACAGCTGGGCACAGTGTTTACCTATAGTTAAATATCTCAACAACTGTATGGATTGGGGCGAAATATGGCACAGACATTCATGATCCCCTGAGGATGAAAGCTCACTGACTTGTGTTGATCTTGGACTTCTCATCCAGCGCCATCATCAGGTCAAACATTTAAAGTTCAAGTGTTTGTCCAGTACTTGGGTTTATGACTGAACACCTGCAAAACTAACAACGCTCCCTGCTGTTTGTTGTTCTTTATGGTTAGTACTCTGTTAAGCACGCCAACACTTTGGCATCAGTATTTAGCTCAGTGCACCACTGTACGTATGGCCTCACCGGCCTGCTATGGCTGTACACGCTTAGTCTTGTTTATTAACAGTGTACACTGTGAAAATATGTCTATTCATTGACACCTTTGACCAATAATAGTTATTTAAAAGTTGTGCTGTAGATGTAGATATTTGTGGTTCCACCTGAAAGTGGTGTTAGGTTTAATGGTTATTGACACACGACATAGGTTTGTATTGTACTAGATGGTACCTAAAGCATCGAAAGCATTATTGTTCTCACTGGAATTTGTTAAGATGAAGTAAATGAACTCGAACAAACAAAAGCCTAAATCTTGAAATGAGATGTATTGTCCCACACAGTTAAGAATAAACCATCACACAAGCCAAAACATTAAAGACACTTGAAAAAACACTTGAAATAAGGTGTTTTTGTCTTGAAACTTCAGCGCTTGAAATAAGTGTGAAAGCAGACTTGAGATCCTGGAACATGTGTGTCACCTCCTGTCTAACTTAACATAATCCCAAGTAACATATAACTGCTAATTAATGCAAGGCAAGTGACATTTACTTTCATGGTTAAACAGCTCTGCACAGTCACCACTAGAGTTTCTGCAGTACATACAGTTGTTGCCATTAAAGTTAAAATCATTTTTTAAAATTAATTACACATTCCTTTTTCTGGACAGGAACCGTATGTACAACCCAACTCACAGATTTATGCAAAACTCGACAGGATTGTGTTTATCTTTGAAGTGAAAAGAAGTAAGAACAAGCCCTAAAAACAAGCAGTGATTGTGGCATGTACAAAAGTCCGTACTTACCTGATCCCTCCAACAAGCCTCAGCTTGTGTGTCTTGAAGTAGGTCATGGTGGATTTTGAGATCTGCTCTGGATCATTGGATCTGTTTCTTGACTGACTGCAGGGCATTTTGACCCAGAATGATCTGATCTTCAGTGGAATCCGTCCTATGATTCCTGTGCCACTGGCTGATACCCTAAAGAGTAATATTTCTACCCCCATGCTAAACAGTTGGCAAAGGGAGGTTATTGACTTAGTAGTGTGCCCAAACCATAATTACTATTTTTCCATTTATTTTTATAGCTGTTTGCTGCAGGGGTTGTATTTACTTCTTCATTTCCAAAATCAACAAAATATGTTGCAGCAAATTTGACCAGACACATAACTGTAGGAAGCTAACATAATTAGGTTATAGTTATATAAAAATGATGGAGGGAGCCTTATTTTAAAGTGTTATAGATGTTTGTAACTAAAAAAATAAAATAAATAAATGGTTGTAAAAATGAGATGATGAAACATGAAAATGGGAGAATCAGCTCAGTGAACAACAGGCCACAGAGGTGTGAACAGTGGGACAAAGGGCGTGTGTGTGTTTGTGGGTGTGTGTGTGTGTGGGGGGGGGGGGGTTCATTGCTAGTAACTTAACAAACTGATGAAACAGCAGGTACAAATGCTGATGATGGAGAAAACTCAGTAACTAATGAGACATGAGGCTGAACAGTACAGAGAAATGTGGGCTCACTATTTAGCAAGCCCCTTTTTTTAAACAGCTTATAAACAATTAATAAAGTGTTAACACGCTAATTAATAAACTAGTTATAAACCATTCATATAAGGGGAGTGTTATTATAAAGTGGTACCAGTAATTCCTCCATACTTCAGTATAAACACCTGCTTTGATTGAAGTGAAGTCGTCAGTTTCCACAACTGAACATTATTACCAGTATTTGCAGCGTCACCCTAGATTTATCTGATTAGTGTATTTTTCATTTTGAAATTTCTAAAAAACGATTTTTATGAGCAGATGTACGTTTGGAGACCCCACAGCACATTAGGTGACACATCTACTGTAAGTGGCGTTCAGCTGATGGATGATCCACAGTCATACAAGCTGGCATGACCATAGAGTGGAATTGAGAGGATAGTGAAAGTTACTATTTATCCTGCCATTGGGTTGCATACCGTTGATTTGTTAGTGGAGCTCTCTGACAGGCAAAAATACTTGGTGTTCTGCCAAAGTAGCTCTTGGCAATAGACAATGTCATTTGCATTTAAAGCTGTTTCTGCAGAGACAAGTCCATTTATGTAACTTTGTAAACACAGCATCAGTCAGAGAATGTGGTGACTTTCTGGAGAGGGATCACGGGTTTACCGAGAGGGAGCACATGAGGAGAAACTCGGAGATATTAGAAACCGCGATGTCCTGAAGTGACACGGATGCACGACTCCACAGCAGGTTGCATTTTAAATTAATCTCAGAAACACTCAAGCCTCCATGTCAAATTAAAAAAATAAAGCTATCAGTGCAGCAAAGTGGTGGATCGTGGAACATACTGTTCTATAATATAATCTTTGTTTTTATGGAGAGGTTTGTTTTGTGCTTGCATTTACTCCATGATCTCAGTGAAATTAACGTCCATGATAACACGCAGAAGTGCAATGATGTGACACAACCTGACAAATGAGATATAATGTGAGCAATCAAAATGTAGCACAGTCTTGACATATCAGAGGGAAAATGAAAATGACTCTTGAGTTTCTGTAGCATCGATTTCCACATCCAATTAAGCTCATTATAAGTTAATTAAAGATTCATAGCTGCTCTATGAATGTAAAGGCTTAGACTTACAATCAACTTAAAGACAGGAGAAGAGGGCCCAGACAAGCGCACAATAGACGATCTGGTGTGGAATCTCAAGTCATGTCAGATTTTATTCAGCCCTGTATCACACATCAGGGGGTTTAACAGTGTTACAACACCCTCTGACCCTAGTCCCTTGAATTGGACGTGGAAAAACTCCCCAAAAAAACCCTTTAACAGCAACAAATAGAAGAAACCTCAGAGAGGTTCTTCCAAGACAGACAGACACGCAATAGATGTCATTCGACAGAAAAGAGCAACAAAGTAGATTCCCAGTACACGCTATCAGGATGACAACATTATAACTTATAAACATTAATGAAGAATATGAACCAAGGACCTGAGCCACATGACCTCCTCTCTTCCTCATTTAAAACCTTGACCCAGTCTTTCCCAGTCTTAATGTTGTGGCCTCATGCTGGGGAAAAAGTCAGAGTCATCAGGTGTTAATTGTCCAGTAAACCGCTCTTCCAGGAGCGCTCTGTCCTCATCTGATAACGCCTTCCTGAATTTCTCCAACATTGGCTCGTCCATGTGAGCTCCAGCCAGTTCAAACAAATGTTGGCCCATTATTTGTTGAAGTCCCACAATTTATTGATACTTCCCAGGAAATGCCTAAACAGGCACAGTTGTGAATTGCCTCTATCAGGATCCAGTATAAGGATGCATTGGAGCCCAGTCGACCCGTTTCCATCAATCAACAAGTTTTTTACCACAGTGACAGAAAATCGGGACAAATTATTCAGATATAAACTTGAACAATCAAAAGTAAAGTGTCTTTCCGAACCCCAAATTAGCAACCTGACCAAAAACAAACTCTGCCGCTACTCGCCTCCATGACAAATGTTGTGGTCCAAGAAGAAAACTTTACTGTTAAAACTGTCACATAAATTCTGCTTTCCTACTTCCAAGATGAACCAAACCCTGTCCTCCTTCTTCACCTGGCAACCATCTGAGGTGTCCAGTGTAATCAATCCAATACAATGATACTCTGTAATTTCATTAACAGATTTCCTGGAGGTTCTAACTCAGCCAGGCGACGCCACAAAGTCCAGGGTAAAGGCCAATGGCATTTAATCAGTCTTCCCTTCACCGAAATGTCCAAAAGCTTAAATATAAATTGTCCTTCAGTGCAAACCATGACAGGTATTGGTTCTTTTCTTGTTGAAGGGACATCAGACTGAACTTTAGATCCAGTGAGCTACAGATGTCCAAATAGTCTCAAATCATGTCTCATCTCTAGTTGATCTGCCAGAGATGCAATGTGACTGATCGATGCCTATGACTCGCTCCGACACTTTTCTTAACTGGTTCGCCAAAACTTTCAAGAGGGTTTTATGATCAGCACATAACGGACTCACTGGCCTCCTCTTCTTGATTTCACACAAGTCTCCCTTTGTTGGTAGAGGAGTGAGGACCTCTCTCCGACAGAGAGGTGTTCTGTCTCTTATGACCTCTAGCCCTCC